ATTATTTTTAATGATAGCAACATTTACAAAATTATATGCGGTAGTATGTTTATTATGTTTATTCAAGCAGATAATTAACAAATAAAATATTAAAAATTATTATTTATAAAGACTAAAAGATTTATAATATTTTAACCTGCATATGTTCAACATATTTTAATTCAACATAGTTAACATTGAAATTTTTAAATTTGTAAAAAAATTATTGTCACAAATTCATTGGCAGCATTAAAAAAAAGTTTGTTTTCTTCTCTTTGTCGGATAGGTGCGAAAGGAGACATCAGTCATAATTCGCACTAAGCCGAGTACAGTGAAAGTAATATGATCAGCAATTGATTTAGGACGGGAAATTGCATTTTGTTGATTTTTATTTGTTATAAATTGCTTTGAACTGCAAATAATATAAAGGAATATTTTTTTCTTTTATGTTGTGAATGAGAAAAATATATATATATGAAATAAGCGCTGTTTAGTTTATACAGTAATTTGAACATTGAAAATTAAATATAGAATATAGAAAATCGGCTAAATTAAAAGAAAATAATTTGCGAAATCACACATTCAAAAATAATACAGGCGAATTAAAAGTAAGTTAAATTATATATTAATTTTAATTTAGTTATAAAAAATTTGCACTTGTCATGTTATATTATTGGAATGAACACCGTTAGAGGTGCCGCAAGATTCCATGTAAGAAGCAATTCGAAAATGTTGTTATTGCCGCCGTTTTTGTTCCTGTTTTGTTTTTGTTTCCTACACTTTTTAATTACTTTCTTATAAGATAACTATTGGTCTCCCTTTCTCTATCGAAATAAAAGAAGTTTGAAATTGTAGTGGGCAAAGAGTACCGATCAGACGCGATTGTATTGTCGTGGAGGATGCGTGTGTTTAGCTTTGTGTGAATTTTTTTTTGTTTGGATGGTGTAATTAATAGAATTTATTATTTAAAAATGAAAACAATATTTAGTGGTGCAAGCATGTTTGGATTATTAAAATATTATTTAAAAATATGAGTGTTTCTATTAAAAGAAGTTAAATGCAGTTATTTTGTGAAAATGTATTTTGTTTTTGTGTGTGTGTGGCGTAAAACAAACGTTTGATATATTAAATTATTTTTATTGTGCAATTTCACTAAAAAGTCTCCATATAAAAATGAACAGAACAAACTAGTTTATAATATTTAAATGTGTTTTATTAAAATAAAATTTATTAAATATAAACAGGTTTGTAATATCAACAACATAATATAGATTTATTTTTTTTTTATAATTGTGAAATATAAATTTTAAATAACCGTAAAATATCGAAAAGATGGCGGCTTTGTTGCGCCATGAAGTGAAAATGGTTGCGCAGTGTTGCCAAGTTTCATGTGCCAACAACAACTTCAGAATACCATATGTCACTTAACATTTTGTATTTTGTTGAAAATACATTGTCGCATCTGTGTGTGGGAGAGATGGCTTTTTGTTTTATTTAAATTTGTAACGGAATATATTATTAAAACCTTTTGTTAATTGATCTTCAAATATTTTTTTATTATTTTCAAACAATAACTCAACGTATTGTTTTAATTTAATGTGAAACAAAACTAATTATATCGTAGTATAAATATAAAAATCATATATAAGGATATGGAGTCTTATATTCTTATTACACTCAAAATAAACTATATAAATAAATTAGTTTAATGTATAAAATTAAAAAATAAAAACATTAAAGAAACAATTTGAATTATATATGCTATGTATGTACATATCTGTATATGTGTACACACGTACTCAAGTTGTAAATTTAAAAAATTTTACAATCAAATGCTCCTTTACCAATAAATTTAATTTTTTCCTTCAAATTTAAGTTTTTTTTTGTTTTTGAGTTATATATTAAAATTATATTTCGATTGTACTAATCCTGGCTACGACGTACAATTTGTTTTATTCTGGTATTGTGTGTGAACGCCTTCGAAATTATTGTATTATATCCTGTTATTTATTACATACTATGAGAATTAGCTAAGGTAAGAATATATATTTTAGA